TTTCCTGCAAAGGCAGAAAAAGCCTCCAAAGTGCTCTAAACCGGGCTCTGATGGTGCAGGGGAAGTGCGCCGAAACCACACGCCCTGGCTTTGGGGTTCCCCCGGGGCTTACCTTGCACCATGGTAGGACTCACGTAGATCCCTCTGCACGGTGTTCGGCGTTTGCAGAGGCTTGTCTGACACAAATTTTAAAGTTCCCGCCTCTTCCTCCAGCCTTCAGCAAGCCTCGGAAGGGGGAAGGGGGGAAAAAGAGCATTTTTCCCTTCCGAGGCTTGCCGAAGGCTGGAGGAAGAGACGGGAACATTAAAATTGGTGTCAGACAAGCCTCTGCAAATGTCAATCGCTGTGAAGAGGGACCTGCGCGAGTCTTCCCATGGTGCAAGGTAAGCCCCGCCAGGGTTCTGATGGCTTCCCATGCACCATCAGAGCCCTGGCAAGGATGCCCTGAAACCACCCGCACCCACTTTAGAGCACTTCAGAGGCTTTTCCTGCACCATCAGAGGACTGGTGGGGGACCTCCAAAGCTGGTGATCGCGTCAGTCCTCCCATGGTGCTTCCCCAGCTCCCTACCCCTTAAGTTTCTTTTAAAAATTTTCCCCTAGGAACGCATTAATTAATTTTCAATGCATTCCTATGGGAAATTTGGTTTTGCAAGACGATGTTTTCGCAAGACAGTGATTTCCGCGGAACGGCTTAACATCGTCTTGCGAGGCACCCCTGTATATTTTTGAGGGATATGACTAGGTAGCAATGTAAAAAGAATACAGTACCCAACAGGCTTTAGATATGCAGAGCATGCTGAGTATCTGCAGGCTGCAAGTTAGATTAGGAGTTTGGAATGTATGAAGTATATATGTGGTAGGAAAAATGCCACAATATTCTAAATGAAAACTGGACTTTCAGATCCTTGGAGTAAGTGAAGTTGTTGGCCAGAATCCATCAAAATACATCCAGATATTGGGCATGATATGCTTTATTTGGGCAGTAATGATTCACAGCACTAGAGATGGGCATGAAGCACTGGCTTCAGTTGTTTGTGCTGGTTCATTTACCAGCCGAACAGATGTTTGGCGGTTTCCAACCCTGCGGCCTCTGGCATGTGCCCACTCAGAGATAGCACCTGAAGTAGGTGGGGCAGAGAAGCCAGGGCGGTGCCTCTTGAGTGAATGGGCACCCGCCGGAGGACGCAAGGCTGGAAACTGCTGAACACCTGTTTGGCTGGTAAACAAACTGGCACAAACTGGTGGTTCATGCTCATTTCTACATAGCACCCTTATGGAGATGCAGTCAGAGAAGCAGAAGATAACAAGTGCAGCAGTTACAAATGTCAATTCTGCTCAGACTAGGTAATATTTATCAACTACAGAGAAATCTCACAAACAACAAATATATGCCCTAATTGTTGATGAAAATAAAAAAATATGGGGAAATCCTGTGAAGAACTTAAGTCTGTTATGAAAGTATATAAAAAGGAACATTTTTATTTCATAAAGATTTTAATGGAAAGATGGAGAAGAAGAATGCAAAGATTTTATTAGAAAATACAGAACAGGAATACAAAATGAATGTGGAAAACAAATGATACAATTTGGTTGCTAGGAGGGGGACTGGCAGTTACCAAAACAATTTCACATTTGCAATAAGGAGATTGTATACATGGATGATCCCACAAGATATCTCTAATAGCAATATGTAAAGATCCACATAGATCATATGTCATATCAAAGTTAATCAGAGATATCACAAAAGTGAATGAAAAGATGCTGAATAGCTCAGTGGTTTAAGTATCTGACCTTGGAGGTAAAAATGTATACTCTTGCCACTGCTTTTTAATTTGCACGCTTGAGAACATCTCTAGGGAAGCATCTACTTATTCAAATGGTGGTGTCATTGTCAGTGGAGAACTTACCAATAACATCTGACATACAGATGGTACCATTTTATTAATTAATGGTTTACATGCTCTGTAAAGGTTACTCAGTAAAGTGACTCATGAACGTGGTGTAAAATTAATGTTAAGAAAACCAAATTTATCATAGTCAGTAAAAATCAAGCAACCCAGAAAATGCTGTTGAAGATACAAAATAAAATTATGTGATGTGTTGACTAATATATGTACCTTGGGATTTGACTGAATGAAAAGTGAGATTGTAATTATGCAAAGAAAGTCATATTAAAGATGACGTGAAGCAGCTCTTTAAGTTGAAGAATATAAAAATGACAGAAAGACTTGACTGAGAAAGAACATTATATGGTACTGTGTGCTCTTAGTTCTATTATATGTCATGGACTTTAAACGTCTATAAAAAGTGGCTGTCCGGTGTTGTGTAGTGACTAGAGTGATGGACTAGTACTCAGGAGGCCTGTGTTTGAATCCCCTCTCAGCCACGGAAACTCTCTGGAGGTGTAGAACTGGTAAAACCCTCACTTAAATCTCTCACTTAACTTGAAAGCCCTGTTAGGGTCACTGTCAGTTGGTTCCAACCTGCCAGCACAGAGCAACAACAAATATAAAAAGGATGGAAGCATTTGGAATGTGGATTTATCTGAGGGTGCTAAAATTTTATTTATCAGGATAATGCCCAGTGAAGAAGTACTGAAATAATGAAAATGAACTAAGTAAGACTGAAAGATCATAACACATATAAAAACTAGAAAAGTTCAGTCATCTAATTAAAAAGACAGACTATTGCAGATGGCCATTCAAGGTAAAATAAATGGCAGACATAGTGCAGGAAGGCAAAGAATGTATGAGCTGAAGAGCCTTGGAAAGTGGTTTGAGTAAACCACAACATCAGTTTTTAGAGTGGCTGCATCAAAAATATTTTAGGCAACATGGAAGAGTATAGCTATGTAGCAAATGTTTTTTAGCTTTTATGTTGTAGGGGAAAAACCAAGCTGCATAGGCTTCATGTACAAAGCACTGCTTTTCATCTGTTTGTTGTGATAATCATTGAATGGATCGCCCATAGAATGCCCCAACAGGGAGTGGGCAAGTTTAGCCTCCCTTGGAAGCTGATCAGAGAGCAGCCACTAAAGAGGCCCCTTTTGTATCTCCATTAAATGCATACTTTCCATTATTTTTCCCTTCAGGGTTTTGTGCTATGCCATTCTATCGCAGGCGGGACTGGTTCTGGTTTGGGCTCTTACCTCCTGGAGAGATTAAATGACAGGTGAGTGATGGTAGCAAATATACCTCTGAGGCATATCTAGAGGATAAAGGCAGTGAGACTACTTTTAGAAGCCAGCAGACTGGCAGATGTGCAGGATACACAGCTGACTCAGAGTAAAATCTGCCCCACCTTGTAGTTAGTGGAGTTGTGACTTGAAATAGGAAAAAGGCTGAAATAATACTTTCTCCCCCCTCAAGCTAGAAATGTTCTTTAGTCACAGCTGAAGCAATTTACATTTATTTTTCATTGGCTCTGTAGTAGTTTGGGAAGCATATCTATGCAAAATTTCCATTAGAAGGTGGAAAACAGACATTTCGGATAATTCAAATACTTGAAGTAGATATCATTCTCTGGGGGCTTATAAATAGTGTACCAAATAAACATTTCTTGAATGTAATGAGTTTTCACTGTGAAACTCTTTCAGAGAGCTTATCTCTGATTTTCCCTAAAGGTCCACAGAAGTTGACTCCACTTGCTGTGAAGCCATTTTGTGATTGATCTTGTCCCTCTATCCCTCAGTTCTTCTGTACATGTTAGAGGAACTTGGCAGAAGTGTCCTTTTATGGTGATCCAAGAGAGATCTGTTTTCATCTTACTGACTTTCATTGTACAGTACTTGGCATGAAGGTTCACTTTGTCAGACAGATGTGAATATCTCATAATGAGTAAGTCTTCACATCTACCAGAGAAGCAAGGACCTGTGAAGACTTAAAAAGTTCCTTGTGGTGTTCACCCTTCAGTTTTGTTCTGTGTTGTTTCCAAGATCCTAATCTACCTCCAAATAAAGAGCATCATGTGGTCCTTGTGCGCAATATGAAAGTAAGGTTGTATGATACCTTCATTAGACTAGTAGAATCGCACATATGGGCACTAGCTTTTGAGTCCTGCAGGTCCCTTTATCAGGCTGGGCATTACAGCATGCATCCCTCAGCTCTGTATTGTCCAGCCTGGTGAAGACTCTTTTAGGACTTGAAAGTTGATCAATGTTTGTGATTTTCTAGTAGCCTAATAAAGGTACCAGTCGCCCTAATGCTATTTAATGATTGTTCTTTTTGAATTGCAAAAGACAATCTGCACTGTTTGGAGTACTGGACCTCTGTGTAAGTACTGCTATATTCTTCACACATTATACAGTGTGGATAAGAAAGGTTTTCTTATTTCAGTCATCTTTTCCTTACACTTTATATAGTTGGCGCTGGTGCTTATTCGTGTAAGTGTAATTGACTGATTACTCACAGTGAAATTAAAGATTGTAACCAGTTTCTGGTTAAACAGAAGTGTTTAATTAGGAAAAAACATTTATAGAAATGGCAGTGATTGAAAGGCATTTAAAAATGTTTAATATGCACTATAACACTCATTTAAGTGCTGTTATGCAGTTTAAACATATAGTCAGGAAGAAAAGATGACAGGGCAATACAAACAGAAATAGTACTGCTATTTCTCCCCCTCCCCCCAAAAAAAGTTGGGTTTTCTGCTACTGGAGAAGGCAAACCACTAGGGAAATTAAGAAAGATAATTATTTAACGATGTTGAAATCTCATAGAATATAGTGAAGTATGCCTGTGTAAAGAAACTAGTATGGAAACACATGTGTTTTTGCTGCACTGCAGTGACAAGGCTGCCTTGTAGCTTAGTGTTCTGGATTTCCAATCTGACAAGGCTAAGAAGATTTCCCCCCTCCCTCCTCTCCCCCTTACTTTGCCCTTTTTCAATTTAGTTAAATAGAATAGAGGGGAATGCTCTTGTTACTGTTTTGCCCTCAAGTCTCTTCTGGCACAATGCCTGAGAGCAAACAGTGCAGGCTTAGTCTTCTAATTGAGTTGCTTTTCAGCGCCTGTTGCCTCGTGATTCCCAATGTCCAGCTGAAGCCCAAGAACACTTGGTACTTTCCACTTCTGAATTGTTCTCTCATGTCATGGCCACACCCTGAGCTGCTGTTGAGATATAAACTGTGATCTAGAAGAACAGAAAGCAGCCAGATCCTTTGGAACATCAACACCAGATGCAAGGCTGCTAAACGCCAATCCAGCTCTAATAGAATGCCTTGGTGAGAGCTTGTAAGTCAGTGGTTCGTCAAGCCAGGCAGTTTTGAAGTGGGAACTCAGGAGTCAATACCTCTTAAGATGACAACTTCTGCACAACAGTTTGAGAGCTTGTAAGTCAATTACTACCTCTCCCCAATCTGTCTTTGTGCCTAATGGCTTAGACAACAACTCTGGAACAAGCTTGACAACGAAGATGATCTGCTAGGTTTCAAAACAGAGAGCTGCTGCTTCAGGCCTTCCACTTTTCAGAAGCAGTCTGGGAGCAGTGATTGGCCTTATAGGTACAAAATGCCTTGGGTCAATCTCAAATTTTATTGGAGCATGCTTCTCACTTTGAGTTCACTGTATCTCTCTGATTCTTTTCTGAGTACCTGTCCTGTGATAATAGTCTCACTTTGAGTTCACTGTATCTCTCTGATGTACCTGTCCTGTGATAATAGCCCAGTTACTCAGAACAAAAAGTCCCCAGCATTAGATCTTTCACAAATCACGAACAAGTGTGGGTTTTACTGGCTAAGTATCCGAATCTACAGCCACATGATGAGCAGGCTTTTTCCCCGATTCAGGTGTAACACAGTTAAGGTGACAGCTATCACAACCACCTTTGACCACTGGATCTTTGAAAACCTTTCCTTGTTCAGTTTAGTCTTTGGTGTCTGAACATTCTGACTGGAGGCTATGGACATGATGTTCAGTATTCTACTTTGACCTGTTGCACCTTGTTTTCCAAACCTCATAGGAATGGTGGTGGCCATCCAGACTGCAAGGTCATGTCTTATAAAACCTTCTCATCCAAGCCTCAGTTTTTTGTCAAGACCTAGAGTTGCTCCATGTTACTGTATGGAAATTGACACATTCAGCCTAGCCAATGTACATTATGTAAATCAGATAATAAATTCTATGCTTGCTTTATGTAAGAAATCTGCTAGCAGAATTGATGGAACTATCTGCAAAGCCTTTAGAGTTGTGTTCTTTCCCCTAGTATTTATGATCTATGAGCAAATAGTTTGTTCTTCTTAAGGGTTTTTTTTTTCACTATTTGCAGGAGTTGATTTGCCATCTTTCACTCTAAACTGTCTCACCCTAGTGAGGAGTTCCTTCTGTAGTGTGTCTTGCAGAAACATAGGCTGTAGATGCCTAGATTCCTTCCTTGTTTCTGAAGATGTCATTTTTAAGTTAAAATGTTTTCCATTTTAATCTGAATAGGAGGATTAATGAATACATTGCTGTGCCTTATTCAAGGAATTATTTTATTTGTGGGGTCTTATAGATTGAATATTAATTTAATTTCCATGTGTGATTTTAATTTTTTTATTCCAAACTATTATAAGATAACAACTTCCCCATTTGATGTCCTACCACCTCACTGCATTGTATGAGATACAGTTACTATAATTGTTCTCCCCACAAATGCCTTTTTTTGTACATATTCTTCCATTTGGGTATCGTGTAAATAATAGATGAATAGTTACTGCATTTTGACCAAAGCCTTCTGTAGATAACAGCAGTGATTCTCAGTGTTTGGCCCTCCAGATGTTTGAAGTTCAGTCCCCAGAAGGCTTGGCAAGTATGGTCAATGGTCAGGGATTCTGGAAATCAAAGTCCAAAACATTTGGAGGGTCAAAGGCTGTGAACCACTGAGATAGAGGAATTTGGGATGTAATTTAATGATGGACATATAGTCCAGCTCAGGCAGGATAAATTAAATTGCTGCAGTTGATCATCTCAGCACTGGTCCTCATCTGTTCCAGCAACATTGAACTTGATGTAAAATCAGAGCATCCAAATCTATTCCGGTGATGTGATATTTCCTCTTGATTAGTTCTTCAGTTTGTTGTCTTAGATTAGCCGAAACTCTGGTGATGGCATCCCTCCCTCCCTTTTCTTCTTATGTTGCCTTAAGAAACTTAAAAGTACCTGTTTTTAAGGTTGGTTTAAGTTTGTAGTACTTCTGAAACTTGTAGTGAGAACTGATCTGTGATTGGGTTCATTGTTTTCTTTGGGCAACTCCTCATTTTCAGCAGGAAGTAAAAACGGAGACATCTTTAAACTGTCACTTTTATTATCACCACTCTTCTCCAGCACGTTATTCATGGGATCAAAGACTCTCAACTCTGGCAACAGGCCATAACTAGACAAACCAGAACTTTTCCCATACTCCCACAGACTCAGTGGGGAATTCGCCCACGCCATTCCTGGTACATCGGTCTTCGGGGAGGAGTACTTTTCAGGGTGCAAATTGTCCCACAACATGAGCGCTTCACCCAGCCTCGCTCGTCTGGTTTGTCACAGAAATGGTTGTGGGCTGTCTCAGTCTTTCTTTGTAGCTCTAACTCACGCGACATCACGATCACAGTCCACTCTTGTGTCCGAACTGTGACGGCTTTTCTCCTTTCAGCCTCGGCTCTGTTAGCAGTCCTCCCACCTTTAGATTGGGGAAATCCCTCAGTAGGCCTTGAGTCTTCACATATTCAACCTCCCTCCTCCATGCCTCCTCTCTCTTTCTCTCGTACTCCTCCAGCACCGAACTGAACCAACGCACCCCTTCCTCATATCCTCTTCACACACTGTCACCTCTTGCTCCTCCTTCCTCTCATTGTTTTCTTTGGGCAACTCCTCATTTTCAGCGGGAAGTAAAACCGGAGACATCTTTAAACTGTCACTTTTATTATCACCACTCTTCTCCAGCACGTTATTCATGGGATCAAAGACTCTCAACTCTGGCAACAGGCCATAACTAGACAAACCAAAACTTTTCCCATACTCCCACAGACTCAGTGGGGAATTCGCCCACGCCATTCCTGGTACATCGGTCTTCGGGGAGGAGTACTTTTCAGGGTGCAAATTGTCCCACAACATGAGCGCTTCACCCAGCCTCGCTCGTCTGGTTTGTCACAGAAATGGTTGTGGGCTGTCTCAGTCTTTCTTTGTAGCTCTAACTCACGCGACATCACGATCACAGTCCACTCTTGTGTCCGAACTGTGATCTCAGTCTTTCTTTGTAGCTCTAACTCACCACGATCACAGTCCACTCTTGGGTCAGAACTGTGCCGGCTTTTCTCCTTTCAGCCTCGGCTCTGTTAGCAGTCCTCCCACCTTTAGATTGGGGAAATCCCTCAGTAGGCCTTGAGTCTTCACATATTCAACCTCCCTCCTCCATGCCTCCTCTCTCTCTCATACTCCTCCAGCACCAATCTGAACCAATGCACCCCTTCCTCACTTATATCTTCACACACTGTCACCTTGCTCCTCCTTCCTCCCTCTTGCATCCTCCTCTAATATTAAGTTCTCAAGTCAAGACCCCACTGTATCCTCCTCTACCAGACAAATCTCCACTTTCCCCGCCTTCTCCTTCAATTCAACTTTCCCCACCTCCTTTGTAACTGTCACTTCTTTAGTCATCATCTCTTCCTCACTTCCCTTATCCTCTCTTCCTTCTATAGCCTCTGTCAACACGGACGCATCACTCTCACACACTCCTCCTTCACATCAAGTCAAGACCCCACTGTATCCTCCTCTACCAGACAAATCTCCACTTTCCCCGCCTTCTCCTTCAATTCAACTTTCCCCACCTCCTTTGTAACTGTCACTTCTTTAGTCATCATCTCTTCCTCACTTCCCTTATCCTCTCTTCCTTCTATAGCCTCTGTCAACACGGACGCATCACTCTCACACACTCCTCCTTCACATGATCCCTTATCCTCTCCTCCTTCTATAGCCTCTGTCAACGCGGACGCATCACTCTCGCACACTCCTCCTTCACATGAACCTTCCAATGGAATATCCAAATTCTGAGCTACCTCTGGCAAGTCGTCCATGTCTATTTTTCATTTTGAGTGGAAGGAACATTAAGAATAACTTTGTGGTTAATGTCAGGATCCATTCTGTTTGTTCAAAAACTAAGTGGTAAGAGGGATCTTTTTTCTCTCTCTTGAATGAACAAGAAACAGTAATATTTAGGCTGTTCTTATACTTTAGGAACTGGAGGATATCGGTTTCATCTTTTCCATACTCACTTCATATTTCATATTTATAAACACAAGTGTGTGCATAAAGTCTGTCCTATTGGCTCTTTGTTCTTATCAATAGAACTTGGGAATCTTTCTGATTGGCTGTCATACCCCTTCTTCTAAATCTTGGTTCTTCTTCTGCCAGATGTCTGAACATTTGGGTCATCATAGTGTTCATATAAGATAAATAAATAAATACACACACACATACATATACATATATATACACACACATACATACACACACACCAGCCTTTGGGTCTTCCTCAACCCATTTGCATGCCCAGGATCCTAAAATAGTTAGTTACTTTAGAAACAGAACACTTGCATCTCCATATTGATTAGTGATATACAGTATGTTTGTATATGTACAAGTTCTGAGCGGGTGACTATTTTCTTCCCTAATAGGTACCCTAAGAAATTGGTGCAGACATACTCTGTCTTCCCAAACCAGGATGAGATGAGTGATGTTGTGGTGCAACCATACAACTCTCTATTGACACTAAAGCGGCTGACACAGAATGCTGATTGTGTGGTAAGGGATAGTTGGGTAATGCCTATTCTTCAGGAAAGTAAATCGCCTATTCCCAGGTAGGATAGGACATCTCAAACTGTACTTAAACAGAAGATGGTGTATACAATGGAAACATTTTGTCTTGTAGAGAGAATTGAGGTTTCTCTAGGTATATGTCAACATGCCTAGAATTGTTTTGAGACACTTGCTTCCTAAAGTTGCATTACTGTTTGCAGTGCATCTGCCCCTTCTGTGTTGTGGAAGGCCCTATAACATGTAGAAAATGGGTACAAAAGTAATTCAAAAAGAATGGAGCCTGAACTCTATTTATTTATTTAGTAGGCTTGTGGAATGGACCCCCCCAATCCTACACTTCCTAAAGAGTCTCCCTTTTAACAGGTGGTTCTAGACAACACAGCTCTGAATCGCATTGCTACAGATAGACTACACATCCAGAATCCCACCTTTTCCCAGATCAACCAGCTGGTGAGTGAGCAGGGATGTGACAAAAACATGCTTCTCCAAGCCTCTGAAGAAAGGAGCTGGGTGTGCTGCTTCCTGGGGGTTATGTCTCATTGTGGAGTCAAGAGTTGTATATTTTTAAAATGTAATATTGTATACTATTTTCAAAAACAATGTATCGGAAAAGTAGTATATCATTTAAAAAAAGAAGGGTGGCCCTTGGTGTGATAAAAATTACAGATGTAGAACAGTTTTTAGGGCCTTCTTAAATCTAGATTTTTCTAGTTTGCTGCCTCTTGTTTTAGTTGGGGGACAGCTTTAATTTCAGGTATTTTTAATTTTCTTCTATTGGTTTCAGTACAGGCAATTTAAGAGTTATTTATGGCATTTTTCACTTTGCTTTACTCTCTTATCCATACAACAATGTATAAATTAGACCAGTATATGTCCCTGCTCTCTAAATAGACAATGGATGAAGTCTGTGAATACTTAAAAGTAACCCAGAGAGTTGTATCAGAAAATTGAACTTGGATATACAGTACTTGTATATCCAAACCAAACATTTTCTGAGGAAGAGGTTGTGATTTTACGTGATCTGCATTCATTTTTTGCAAATAAAAATTTTGCATTAGGTATTTGCATTAAATAGCTAGCTGGATAGCTCAGTATCTGGCTGCAAAGCCATAAGTTGGGAGTTCAGTTCCCCACTGTGCTTCCCAGAAGAGATAGTCTGTATGGTCTTGGGCAAGCTGAACAGTCCCAAGATGCCCCCAGAAAAAAGGGAGTTATAAATAATTTCTCTTTATCTAGAAAACTATGAAAAGGGTTGCCATAAGTCAGAATTGTTTTGATACACACAATTGTTATTATTTGCATTAAATATTTAGCTTCCGGACTTTCTCTCTGGATACATTTGAGAGCTTTCCTGGAGAAAGTGAAACAGTGAATTCTGGTCTGCTTTACTTCTCTTTCAGTTCAGTCCTAATTTATTTCTGGGGAAGATGTGGGTCTTGCTGTAATTTTTATCTTGTTTCTTTCCTAGGTCTCCACCATTATGTCTGCTAGTACCACCACATTGCGATACCCAGGCTACATGAACAATGATTTGATAGGATTGATTGCTTCCCTTATTCCTACTCCAAGGTTGCACTTCCTTATCACAGGCTACACACCTCTTACCACAGACCAGGCTGTAAGTACTTTTCCTGCTTCTACCCTTAAGCCAAACTGCGGGAGTTCTTAACATGTCTTAACTTTTTGGCAATCATTCAGTTGGTGAGAAGTCAGCATTTTCTGGCCTCTGGTTTAGTAGTTATCCGGGGCAACTCAGCAAAATGTGCAGTCAGAATGTCCTATTTATGATCATAGTCAAGATGCAGTGTTGAAGACCAGGAGTTGTATAGAGACAAAGTGCAGTTCCTGATCCAGTTCCCTTGTGCCCTAGCTGCCAGTCTAATAAACATAGATCTCTTCTTCCCTTTTTTCATCCCCATCCACAAGCAACAGGACAAGATGCAGAGGGATAGATCGCAAAAGCTGATGATTCGGAAGAGGGTATCAAATGCATGTGTGTGAGAGAGACTTAAGTGTTTGTGTCCTCTTGCTCTTTCACAAGATTGTCTGCCTCTTATTTCTTCTTCCTCCTCCCCCTATAAATATGGGTATTTGCCTTCATCTGAATGTCTGCTAATTTCTCTCCACCAGTCTGTCTGTTGTTACAGAAATCAGAATGGTTCAGAGAATTTTGAATCCCGCTTCCCTTTTTCTCTGTTGTTTGAAGATGGTTTTTTATTTGACCTACTTGGGAGGCTACAGCATCTTCCTTCTGACAAGCACTGGAACGATGGATGCTTCTTGGCTGTAGTACATATACATTCTCATGGAAAGACTTGCCTGATAGGGTAAATCCTTTGAGGGTCTGTGAGAGCTTTTTCTTAATGTATGAAACGACAGTTTCAGTTCCTCTGTCAAATAAATGCCTTTTTAATCTTTTGCTCACAGGTAGCAAGTGTACGCAAAACCACTGTACTTGACGTGATGCGACGTCTATTGCAGCCCAAGAATGTTATGGTATCTATGGGGCGAGATCGTCAGACAAACCATTGCTACATTGCCATTCTTAACATCATCCAGGGAGAAGTGGATCCCACCCAGGTCGGTAGCTAAAGAAAGATCAGCCAAATTAAATTTACTACCTGGGGAGTTTCACTAGGGCTAATGTTGGTCATCATGCTAGTGTAAAAGTAATTATTGTGTAGTCACACATGCATGTATGCCTATGGAGTGCAACAGTGCTCTCACCCTCAAAATCTAAGGAATCTTTGTGAACTTCTTTCCCTAGTAATTTTCTTCAAGAGGAAGTTAATTTGTGCTACCAGACCGTCAGTTGGATTAGCTGTATCCCACCCCCATAAAAACCTTCTGTTCCTTCTTAGGTCCATAAGAGTTTGCAGCGGATCCGGGAGAGAAAACTGGCCAACTTTATTCCTTGGGGCCCAGCCAGCATTCAAGTGGCACTTTCTAGGAAATCTCCATACTTGCCGTCAGCACACAGGGTCAGTGGTCTGATGATGGCTAATCACACGAATATCTCTTCGGTAAGTCTGGCTTGGAACAATTCTTTTTTTGCAGGTTGATGTTCTCATAATTAACTGACGTAATAAACATTGCTCTGGCCTTTTAGCTACTCTCAATGTTTCTGCACCCCTTTTTGTTACATTATTCAAGATTAGGAAGTGATTTCACTCCCTCCCACGTCTTTTTCAGCCAGTACTAATCCTTTCCTATCAGCAGATTTAATAATAATTTTACTTCGGGGAAAAATGGTTTAAACTTAATCCAGCTGCTCTGAAGGCTTTGGGTGCTAAATCCTATGGGGTTTTTGTTTTTCAGAAATTAGAAGTGCAAGGTCAGAACAGGTGACAGATGTTTGAAAGTAATCTTGAATGTTTTTGCACTGAGAAATTTCTGGCTTGAAACGTAATCGGGAGGAGGTGGACTGGTGCAATGCTTTTGTCTTGATTCTCCTAGATGCCATACTAGCTTTTCATGCCATTACTGTAGTTAGTTTTCTTCTGGGATGCTTGAAGTGTACTGTATTTCAGTGGCTTCACTTTATTTTTAGGAGTAGAGATGGGGATATTTGTATACGAATATCCGCACACAGGTGGAAATAACAAGGGTCTGGCCCCATGGGGCCGATCTGTCCACTCACAATTTCACCGCTGCCACTGGCTCTGCGGAAGCTTCCTGTCGCACTGTTCTCCGCAATGAATTAGCCACTCTCCAACCTAGCAGAGAGGCTTCTCATCCCGCCTCCTGCCAGGACTGGGTAATCAATTGTGGACAACGGTGTGATAGGAAGCCTCCATGGAGCTGGCGGCAGCGGTGAAATTATGAGTGGATCTTTGTTATTTCCATCTGTGCGGGGATATTTGTATTCGTAAATGAATACAAATGCCCCCATCTCTATTTAGGAGGTTAGTCTCTGAAGGCGGTGCTGGAAAATTGCTATTTAAATTGCTCATGTGCTTTTTCAGCATCCACATGAAAGTGGTGGGTGAGGCTTGAGCATTTAGTGCCATTATTACGTAGATAACAATTTGTACTTCTATTTCTAGCGTCTAATACAGGGAGATAGCAGAGATGACAGACCAGTTCTTGTGATGTGGGAGAGGAAATACAAGCAATTCAAGGAGGGGTTGCATTCTCCTTAAAAAACCAAGCATCTAGCGTGCAGGTGTTCTTTGGTCCCAACATTTTGGCAGCCCTTGATTACAAATGGCTTACAAGCTTTGGGTGTTTTCCTAGCTGCAGCCCCTGTGGAAGAAAACAGACCTGGCCAGAATTACCTATATCCTAAACACCACACTGAATTACTTATAGTGCTGTTTGTATGGAGTTGACTTTTAAAGACAATGGGAAATTTCAGTTGGTCTGCAAAATTGGTTATTCAGATCTCAAGAGAATATATTGATTTAGTCTTAGTTCTGTTGCATTTGTTGTTGGTTTGCTTTGCAGTATCTATTCAGTGTCTTGGTGAAGAGTGCTTAAATGCTATGAGGAAGTGTGTAAGCAGAACACTTTGCTTTTTTTTTCTTTTACATCAAAACAATCTGTTCATGTTCTATAAACCTCGTCCATACTTTTTCTGTTTTTTTCTCCCCCAGCTCTTTGAACGTACTTGCCATCAATATGACAAACTACGCAAACGGGAAGCCTTCCTGGAGCAGTTCCGCAAGGAGGACATGTTTAAGGAGAACTTTGATGAACTTGATGACTCTCGCAAGATTGTACAGGAGCTGATAGATGAATACCATGCTGCCACTCGGCCCGACTACATCTCCTGGGGCACACAAGAGCAATGAGTGGGACTGTAGGGTTGCTGTCATCTGGAATCTTTCTTCTGAAGCAAGATTCTTCTCAGTATATCAGCCCTTCCCTTCCTATGACCCATTTCTTTTTGGAGAAGAGGCACTTACAGGCACCTAATTGAGAGAAAGGAATCTGGGTGCTATTTTGGCACTGAGACTAGGATCCTCTGTCACTTACCAAGCGGCAACCGAATGTTCCCATTACTGGGCCGGATTTCTCCCTGCCTTCTTGGGGAACCAGGCTATATCTGCCATTTTCCCTTGGACCAGGAATCCTTAGCCTTGGTTAGTAGCAAGCAGTAACAGTGTAATTTCTTTTTTGTTTGTTCCTTTTTAATGTTCTTCAGAAGCTTGTTCCTCTTCCAAGCTGTTTTCATGATGCACCTCTATGTATTTAAACACATTTCTGTTGGCATAAGTACAAAGTGAATAATGAACTCTGATGCCTATGGGCATTTAAAAATAACACGTATTTCTGCATAATACTAACTTTCATTTTTTTATTGCTGATTCTGTGGGCATTAACTGTGTTGCAGCTATGTTGATGAGTAATGGGTTAAGAGATGCCAGAACAGGAAAGAGAAGATTAATAGTCAAGGCAAAAGGAGTATTGGTACAGGCCTAGCTCTCTGTATGATAATTTGAATACTCTCTTCAGTGAGGAGGTTGGTGGTGGGTGGCAAAGGGACAGTTGTTCTGTTGAGAAAACAGCGTCGTAGAAATTTTATCCTGTGAGGCCAGTCGTGGATGGAGATGGAACATACAGACACCTTTTTAATGTTGCTGGACCAGGCAAACCTTTGACTTAAGCCCTTATTCCCTCTTCTAGACACCGAATTTGTTTTCTAATTGCTCTTACTTCAATCTTCATATATGCTTATAAGCCTCCCTGCTTGTCTAAATCTCAGATTCTTGTGGAAAATACATCTTCTGTAACTCAGAAGTGGGTAGAGTGGTCTGTGAGCTCTATGCAGCCCCTGGGGCATTTTTGCTCCCTCTGAAGTAGCAAAAATATTTTTTTCTACAAGACTATTGTATGGTTTCAATTCAGTTGGGGTGTTGGGAATTGGTGTTGGGAATTCCCTAAAGATCATATTCACCCCAAAATTTCCCCAGAATTGGAAAAAAATAAAACCAGAAATGCCTATCGAGACACTTCCTGTTTACATTTTTTTAAAAAAGGCTGAAAACAGATATTTTTCAGTTTATTGTAGCATACAGAGGGGGCTGGCTCCCCACACCTAAGCTTGCTCTCCTCTGCTATTATCTACTGTAAATATAGTTTACAAATAGTGTTTTATTCTTTTATTTTTTACTGTCAGCATGATCTCTATTGGCATGTACAGTGTTTGCTACTGTATCAATAATGTGGCACTTTGCACAGGAACTGGTTGCAGCATTTTAAAACTTCCTTTTTATTTGCCCCAATTTTGATTGCTCCCCGCTTTCCTCTTGCAGAGTCCCACTCCAGTCCAAAAACCACCTAATGGTTTTTGAAAAGAAAATAAGTTTTTACACCCATAAGACTCATCTTGTGTCTGAAAGAGATACTGCAGTAAAGTAGGGTTATGAAGGGAGTGCTATAGTAAATAAAAAGCTGTGTTAGTCTGGGTTTGTGAAGGAAAAGTTTGTAATCAGTGACCTTTTAAAACCTTATTATCGAAGACACATTGCTGTGGGTATATGGACTGGTGCAAATGTTGTAATGTGGGCAAAGAATAGAAATTTTATCTTTGACAAGGTGAGTGGATGACTACTTGTAATTGGCATACTTACTGCACAGAAATTAGGAATACTTGAAGCCTCTTCAGTAGTTTTTTAAAAAGGGTCAATCTGAAAGTACGAGCAGAGAGAATTTTAGCTTTTGCCTGCCTGTCACTGTTTCCATCTGAAGCACAGTCTGGATGCAAAAATGAAGCATCCTCACAAAATCAGAAACTCTAATCCCTCAGGATTCCTAATCACACAGAGAGGCTCAGCTTGTCACAGAAGCTTTTCCCCCCAGTTCCTTTCTCTATAAAGAGAGCAACAAATGGGATGGGATAAAACTCACTGCATGCTCATACTTTCAAATTAATACTTTTTTTAAAAAATTCCTGATTAGGGCTTGAGACTTTCTTCTGGGAAAGAGGTTTATATTTATATTAATGCAGCATAAATCACATTAGTACCTTAATTTACATAGAGGGAGGTATGAGATTCAGGCATTGGTGGGGTAGGTGGGAATAATGTCCTATGATCCCTGCTTAATTTGAAAAGCAGGTTGCACTTGCTCAAGACCTAAGGAAACAGACTTTACATAATCTGTTGCAATGTGTAAAGTATATGGCAGCCTGGTTTATTTAGTGCTGAAAATTATGCACCTAAAGAAAAATCAATTCTCCTTGTCATTCTTTTTCCTTTGGTCTTTATTGGAAATGGTTTGAAATTGTATGCTCACAGAGCCCATTATGGGTGATTCTGTATTCAGAAATGCAGGTCTATTTTGGATGTAGCTTATGGACAAATACATAGATTACATCAGCCTGTGTAACCTACATAGAGAAGAGATGAAATATGTAAGGTTCACATCACTGTCATTCCCTACCCATAGAGAAAGGAAAAATATATCGACCCTTCTCTTAAATTCAGCTCAAAAGGGCAAGAGACACTATTATTTTTCAAACACATAGCTATTAGCTGTGGCTCAGTTTCTGCCCTAAAATATTTGGTACAGTGTCAGCCGAGCTTTGGTAGCAGGCCTTGGGGTAGGTTGAAACCTACATCTAAGATGTGCTAGGAAATTCAGCTCTGGGGGGAAATGGCATATACTTTAGCAAATTTGACAAAGTACTTTTCCACCATCTTCTTCCATCTCCTTTACTTAAAAATAAAATTTTACAAGAGCCAAGTATTGGATGGAAACTAGGATTAATGGCATATCATAAGTGGTCTACTTGACTGAAAACATTGCACTTTTGTATAGACAGGCCAGAAACTATGCAATGTAGACACAGCACTAAAGTTACCTGAGAATTATAGGAAAGAGACCAAATATGGCAATTCAAATGATATAAATATTATTTGTAATACATCAGGGTGGAGAATGCCTCTACACAGGAGAGAAAGCAAAGTCATCAGCTCCTTAGGAGCATAAAATACTACTGGTCTCCCTGCTACAACTGTCTGACTGGAGAAGGCACTGGTCCTGGATAACAATTCTGCTGCCAGGGCAAAGGAGTCAGTCAGCTTGGGCAGAGTTCCATTTTGGCAGTCCGAGTACCATCTCTGTAAGGGTAGCCACTGGGAGTCTACTGCAGACTGTTGCTGGACATACTTGTGTGAAGTGCTACACAGTCTCCTTCACCTGAAAGCAAAACAGAAGGTGGTCACATAGTTAAATCTCAGCCCTCTCCTCCCACAATACAGTGGCATCAGTGCTGGATTTATGTGCAAATTAAGTACACTTCAATTTACACCACAGATTATGAGGACTGTTTTAACTGAGAAAGCCACCTTGGGTCCTTTTAAGGAGAAAGACTGGGTAAATATACTTAACATTAATTAATTAAACATCCCCCCTGCAGCTTCTAGTAAAGTACTTCTTATGGGGATGGATAACACTCTTAAATTTGGCATGTATTAATTTGGACTTGGTTGACATCCTCTTGGCCAGGCCCAGGACAAAACAGCCATAGGAGAAAGGTACGTTTTTCAATCTTTCAGCCAAGATGCCTAGAGAGAGGAGGGCTGTACACTGCAGACAAGATTTCACAAGGAAGGAGAAGAATATTGTATTAACTACTGAAACAGATGACAAGGTAAGGATCTTTAGTGGCATGCAGGGTGCGATTTCAAAATCCAGTGGTCAATGGCTGAGATTTCCACAAAGTTCCTCATTAGGACTAGCTGAAACAATTACACAAAATGGCATCATTCCTATGTGTGCAGACTTCAGAAATTATTATTCTGGTGACTGACACAAAATATTATACGCAGCAAGTGCCTCACCTGCAAAGAGCATTCAGAAATCCTATGCTTGAATCAAAGCAAACATAACTTTTTATGGGACTGGAGCTTGCTTTTAGCCAACCTGGATGGAAGCGTAATCTGCCACAAAGCCTCTTAATTCTTGAAAAAGGTGTACTCCATTTTATTAGTAAAGTAAGTTGCTGGTTTGAATAAATCAATTTTAGTTGATGCTTGAATATAAGAATATCAATCATCTCTGCCTGAATGTAAACAACTCACATATTCTTATAAGCAAGTCACTGGTACTCCATGTATCGTTTAAGTTACTAATATGATGTTGTACACAAATAGTTTAAAACACAGTATGCCAAAAGCAAGTATGGCCAAGGGACAGCTGTGGGAGGACACCAGAGGTTTCCTGACCCGTCTACCGGTCCAGATGGCTGTTGCTATGTCCTTCTCTGATGGTCAACAGACTTGCATTTTGGGAGGCAAAATGTGAACCCCCAAAAATCCTAAATTGTACAACTGAAGAAAAACTACTGTGCAGAAAGGGGAAGGATAGAGAGATAAGTACTAATTAAGTACCTGTACACGTTTTTAAATGTACCTGATCTCCAGGATATTCTCAAGTTCTTTTCTAAATACATAATTACAACATACTATATTTAAGCCTGTGGAGTTTTACCAGAAGCAGCACTTAAGTTCTTTGTGGGTGCTATTAACACCCAAGATAGACTGTTCCAGCACTCCCTGCTGGGATCCTGTATCTACGACAGGTATACATGATGATTGGTCCTGCTCTAGATACAGTGTAGCCCAGTTTTCCCTAGTGAAGGATATGATGCCCTTCCATATGAAAGAGCATGGGGTTAGCCGCCTGCAGTCTAAAGCAACACAGTGTGGGGATTAGGGATAAATTGGATTGGCTGGCAGTCTTGGCCTTCTGTGCCGGTGTAGCCATCTTACAGCAAAATTTGTCCATGGCAAAATAACAGGCCCAAGTTTCATAATCTGTTGTAGTTGCTTCTGAACTCCACATTTTCCTAAATGGGGAAAACATCCTTCCCCAATCTCAGGTGCCACATCGGAAGAGCCCCGAGTATGTATGCTTCGTAAACATTTATTTTGCTAGCAGCACTGGTTTACAACTCTTGTCCTGTTCCTTGTGGCACCTGCTCACCCAAGTAGCAGGTACCCCTACTTTTTATGGTTGATCTCCTGGGTGCACAACCTAAATCTTGTAAGTATAGAAATGTACGGAAAAACTTACCTAGAGCCTTCACATCAAAGAGAGCAGAGCCAAAGGCCAGCTACTCGCCCACCAGATTGAGGTAGGCTGCCATGGCTTCTTCTTGTCTCATCTACTGCAATTGTTTCTATTTGACCCTGGTAGCCTCCATCAGAAACATGGCCTGTTCCTGCAGTTGGCTGCGCAGATGTTCCTACTGCTCCACCTGTTGCTGTGCCAGACAGGAGCCACCCCACAGTCCAGCAGACAATGCTCCAGCAAGACTTCCCCTGGTAACGAGATAATGAGGTTAGAGGACTAAGACAAGAATACAGTAGGCTTAACAAAATTGCTGAACCAAGCAAGGGGAAGGTGACATTGAGGTTCTACAAGCACAGCATGGTAAAAGAGTGGAGTGTCTTTTTAGATACAGACACACAGCTAGGGAGAAAAGTTTGTGGACCTGTCAGGAGAAGTCAGAGAAGTATGGAACAGCAGACATTAACCTCACCTGCTTAAACAGCAGTGCAAACTTCTGGCTCTCACAAGTAACACTGTCCATGTTTGGACAGACATAATGCCTGAACCACAGTCTTCCAGGGGGCTTCCAGCATGCCTCTTCCCTGTTGAAGCTAGCACAGACACAGCAAACAAAGATAGTACATCAGGACAGGGCCATGCAAAGCTTCCTACCCTGGTTAACTTCTGATGGGTGGATGACAAGACTCAAACAATCCTAAGCTTTCCCTGTTTATACCATTATTCTATGGTATAATTGAGGACAAGCAACCTCAAAGCATCCAGGAGCATTTTAAGCTCTCAACCCACCCCCAAAGTTCCCAAACTCTGTCTCCAGAAATCTCTGTCCTGGTCAGTTCTGGTTCTTTTCTTTTTAAAAGTCTTCAGAACTAAAAATGCACAACATGACATTAGAGGGCAAACGACATCTCCCAGTTTCTTCCAGGCCACAGTTTTCAAAATGGAGGCCAAGATACTTGGGGGATGCAAGTTGGCCACTCATGGTAGAGCTGAACACAGCCCACAAATCCAAACAAAGTTATATTCAGGCTTTTCTTGTCTACAGCCAGTTGTTTGGTCAGGTGCTTTCAAGCTGGAACCGACTTATAGTGACCCTAATAGGGCTTTCATGGTAAGTGAGCTATTTAAGGAATGGTTTTACCAGTTTTTAAAATATATATACTGTATATATAAAACACACGCGTGAGAAAGAGTTTCCATGGCTGAGCAGGGATTCAAATCCGGGCCTCCTGAGTCCTAATCCATTACTCTATCCACTACACCACACTGTGTATCCCCTACAGTCTAGTCATGCCAAAATAGTATCTTTGGTAAATTATGCAGAGTTGCATTTATATGCTTATTGTGCTTGGTTCTATATCTACTGCTTATAGGGAGTGCCTCACTGCAGTCAAACAGTAAGGCATTCCGCATCAGGCAAACATCATTTTTCAAGGTACTGTCTAGAGATCTGCAAAGACACAAGGTCAGTTGTATATCAGGGACACTTACTTCTCAAACCTGGTGAGGATATCTGCCACTAGTACATCCTTGGGAAGGGGACACTCATGCTGCCAGCTTTCCTCATAGAGGACAAACGAGTTGGGGCTACAGGCCAGGCCCAGGTGTAACATCAATTCCCGGGCCACCTGGGACGAGGAGACAAAGGGAGTGACAGGAAGCCTGGCCATTTCCAGCAGGAGGACACTCAGTGCTGCAAAGGGGACACAGACAGGGTCATACATGCTAAGGAAAGAGAGATCTGGAGGTGGGGGGAGGTTTGCAAGATGAATTCTTGGCTCTCCTGGTTGGGAACAGAGGTGAAATCCTCCAACACTTTCTCCCTCTCCAAGGATGGAAGCAGTACCATCGCTTGAGATCAGCAACAACTCTGCAACCTGCAAGCCACCCAAGGAAGGGAATTTTCTACAAACTGAAGCCATCTTGTCTGCCTTCCCAGCTGATTTAAGCTCCTCTGGCTTCTGCTTACCTCTTGGACTGTAGTGTGGGAGGCGATGGCCACCTGGCAGGTGGCAGTGCTAGGACTCTGCACAGTGCACACCATTTCCTGCCGTCCTATAAGTCTTGCAATTTCTTCCAAAGAGGGTACACACTCACGCCCTTTGGTCCTGTGCACAGCTTCTGTAATAAAGTGTCCATACTGGGCCATCTCTGAGTCTGGGAACCGTTTCTCTGTTCTACTGGGGGCAAGGAAATGCTGGTTGTTAAACAAGGAAGACATTGGGTGAAAGTTTCATTAATGGACGCCTTGCTTACTACTTAGTACAACAGTCCCACTAATGAAATTACACATTACTGCTATCATTTGCCAGATCAATGAACTTCCTGCTTAGTTTCTTGTCTATCAACAACATCTGAGACGATACAAGAATAATGATGGACGTGTGCCCTTCCCCTACTTTGAAAGCTACTATGTGATAACTGAAGTTATACCATCTCTGAATATAAACATAGGCTGAGAAGAGAAAACCAGAGCCGGAGAAACTTTCTTTTGGGAGCTGGGAAAACTACATGCATTCTGGGAATTATACGCCCCCAAAAGAACTTTCTGTTTATTATTCTATTTGTCTTATTTATAGGCAACCTCTGATAAGGAGACTCAAGACACATTGCAGCATTAGAATAAAATTTAAAACAGCGTAAAATATACATTAAAATCAATTAAATTTATAAAAATGATTAAAACACAATTGAATAATTAACAGGTAAAATGTAAAAAAAAACATATTCACTAAAAAAATGGCAGTCAGGGACTCAGGATTGTTAAAAGGCTGCCTGAAAAGGTGGGTCTTCAGCTGTCAGTGGAAGGATAAAAGGTGGGACAACACCTGATGTCCCTCGGGACAGCATTCCATAACCTCGGAGCAGCCACAGAGAAGGCTCTCTCTTGTGTCCCCATCAACTGTGCCTGCACTGGCAATGGAACAGAGGGGAGGGCCTCTGCTGATGATCTTAAGCACCGAGAAGGCTTCCCCAAGCTCTGAGAAGGATACCATTCCTTTACTTCTATGGATAAAGACTGCACTGATCAGAAAAGGAAAATATATCCACCAGATTGATGGGAGAGGCTTTTTCTAAGCTAAGTGTATGACAATAAACCTTAGACCTCTTCATGCAAAGACACCCCCTCACCCCAGGCTCACCGCTGCAAGTGCAGCTGCAAATAGCACAGGACAGGCAAGGAAGGCACAAAGGTGTAACTCATGCAGGTGAGCAGCTGCCAGTAGCGCAGGTTTGCAGGTGCCCCTGGCACAGGTGGTTCCGTGGTCTGCTTCACCAGTTGGCAGTAGATTTCATCCACCAGGGGCGGGAGATCATGGCACGTTTGAAGCACCCCCTGCATAAGAAGAGCAGGCTCTCGAACCCCCTCCAGCTGCTGCAGGGAGTGGAAGAGCTTAACAGCTTCGTCACGAAGCCCTGCATAACCTTGGCCACCAGGAGCTGCAGAACACAAGCCAGGAGACAAACAGGCCTTTAGTCACAATTCCAAGACATATGGAGCCCCTGCTAGGACAGGGACGGGGAGGAGTTTTACTTTTGAGGCTCCCAAGCTCACCCCAGTAAAGAATCTTCAATTTTAGAAATACATATTAAAAATCCAGGATTCTATAGACCTACAGATTAGCCAGAGTAGGTCTGTTTCTAATCGCAGATGCCTCCAGGAGCAGCAGCTTTTGCTTTGAGAGGCTGGGGTGATCCCTCAAGATTCCCCATGCAGAAAAATTCCAAAAATAAAAACTGTTGTTTTTAAATGGCTATTTTAGACCAACCCCAGCCCTGCTGTAGACGGTGCCTGGAGGCAAGTTGGCCCTCAAGCCCTCAATCCATCCAGCTGCTTGTCCCTATCTTCAGCTTTGCAAGCTGAGCTCGGCTGAGCCAGATACTGCCCAAACCATACAATGAGAAAATCTGACAAAAACAATCCCCCAGATTGAGGGGGCTCACCTGCATACGGGAAAGGCAGCAGTGGTGCATAGAGTGGGCCAGCCGTGTAGCACAGAATGGGATTGTTATGATAGATTTGTTCTAGGACTTCTGGGCTGTTGCGGTTCTCCTAGGAGAGGGAGGAGAAGTTAAAGCATATGAGAAGCATTCTGGGAATAAACCTTGAGGCAACTCTCAACACAGGATGGGATCCAGAACGGGCAGGCAGAATTCCTAGAATTACCGCCCCAGTCTACAAAACGGCCATCTGTATGCACCGAAAGGGGCCAGCATAGAAGCACTCTGCTTCCTGCTGGAGGTTGCTGAACCAGCGCACATCGGCTTCCAGCAACAGGCTGAATGACCTACAATTCCACAAAAGGAACGCGGCTAAACTTCCACCCATTATTCCCAAATATAGCAACCAGAATCCTCTTAATTATGCTTGACAACCAAAGTCAAAAGGCAAAAATTACTGTGTTAAATTGCCATTAATTAAGAAGCTGAGGCTTGTATTTCTTGTTGTGCACCAGTTGTGTGACTTGATGTGCAATGAGAAATACGAGCACCTCCTCAGCAATTTGCCACAGCAACTTACATTGTTTCAGCTGAAGCCAGTGAGCATTAAGTAACAAGATTCTGGCCATTAGTGACCATGAATGAATGTAATTAACACGTGCTACACCTCTCTGATTAAAGCTGAATCCTCATTCCACAGCTCAGATGACTCTTCCCCACCTGATGCCTACCAGCTACGCTGAACAACACCTGTCATACTACATGGATGACGGGAAGTCAGTTCAACACAACTGGAAGGCTGGCTTAGATATTTATAGTTTTACATTACTTGAAAACAATCCCTAAAACACAATCGTTAGCAAAAGTTCTAAGCTTTAAAAATTAAAACAGAATTAATACCTATCAACTTTGGAATCAAAGCAGCACATACCACAGGGGGATTAAGATACCCATCACCCTTGTAAGGTGTTCCATATAAGATTGTCTCTTCCTGTTTTCAGAAATCACACCACTGGCTTCTACATATTCCTTATGCATTTCTACAGAACTCTCTTACATCCTGCATGCCAGATGGACTCCTGGCACATTCAGGCTTCTGGGCACACTTCCAGCTCCAGTGGTAAACCCTTATACTCAGCCCAGCGGTTTCCTTCCCACATTCCTCACCTCAATGTCACACATCAGGATCTGTGTGGGTGTCTGCACAGGGGCCTTGCTCACAATGACCTTCTGCAGTGCACAAACCCAGTGAACAGCCTCGTTTAAGTGTTCTGTGTAGAGCCGGTAGCAGTGCTTCCTGCCAAAAACCGTCACAGCCCAGTATCCTGGAGAAGTAGGAGAACCAGTGATAACAATAGAAACACACAAGTGTGATGACCTAGGAGACAGTGCAGCCTTTCAGTCTTTGCTCCAACCCCACAGTGACAACAGCAGCAGGGATTTTGAAAGCTACCTTTTTAAAACTACAGCTGCCAGAATCCCCTAGCCAGCTGGGACAGTCTGGAAATTGCAGTCCCAAAGTAACATTTCCAAGTACAGTACAGTGGTGCCTCGCATAGCGATCCTTCCGTTTTACGACGAAATCGCTTTGCGACGCTGTTTTTGAAATCGCAAAAGCGATCGCTTTGTGATGGCCCCTATGGGGAAAATTTGCTTTGCGATGATCACGGGGAAGCGATCATCGCAAAGCCCCTATTTTTAGCCAGCTGATCGGTGGTTCCAAAATGGCCGCCGGAAAAAAGAAAATGGCCGCCTGCTGTGTTGCCTCGCTTTAGAGGCACCGAAAATGGCTGTGGCAATGGATGATTTTCACTTAAGATCAGTTTTTAGCCCATAGGAACACATTAAATGCATTTTAATGCGTTTATATGGGCTTTTTAATATCGCTTAGCGACGTTTTCGTTCTGCAGCGATTTTTGCAGAATGGATTAACGTCGCTAAGTGAGGCACCACTGTACTAAATTGTAGCTGATATGCCCAGACACAAAAGAACAGAAATCCAGTTGGCTTGCTGAGCTAATTCCCATCCTCTGCAAAGCAAAAACACTCTCTCTCCCTCCCCCACCCCAACCAACCAGGAGGCATCGGACCTCCCCACACACAGATCCTAGAGCTGACAGATGTTCAGGATATAAAAGTCAGTGGATCTGGGAGCCTGGGGTTCTGTCTTCAAAAGGCATACATGGACTACGTACCTGTTTCCTTGTAGGTCTGTTTGTCAGGCCACAAAACAGAGCAGAGACTGGTAAGGACAAGGGACCCAAGACGGCGGGCACTTATATCACACCCACTGTAGTAGTCAAGGGAATCCTCAGTCAGCACAAACCAGTACTTGCGAGGGCGGAGCCAAGGGGTCTTTATACCTCCCCTCACTTCTCGCTGTAGCCAGCCTAGAAGATGGACAGAAAGTTGGCAAGATGCGGCCTTTCATTCTTTTCCCAATTCCAAGTTACCTCCTTTCTTCCCCAGATTAAAAACTGAAGCTTTATTTTTTTTTTTAAAGTATCTTTATAATTTTATTATAGTTTTCGGTAGGATGAATTACATTCACAAACGTGTAGAGAGGTTTTTGTTCTCCTTTCAAGCTGAAGTAAAAAGAGGTGATCAGCTGGTCCAGCATTTTATGCAACCACTGAGTGGTTTCAAATTCTCTTGGATTAAGTGCAAGCTGGAGGCAGCTGGGGGGGGAGGGAGGGAGAGGAGGGGGGCAGGCATGCCTGATTAAAGACCAGCCCACAGTCTATCTACTGATCCTCCTTCCTAGACACAAGTTTAAACTCCTTCTTGAGGACACTCTCCCCGCATAAAAGACTGAATGGCAAGCTGATAGGCCTGGAATTAGAAATTAATAAAAGGAGTCCTGGTTCTCATATGTGGGTTATACAGCACAAAATCCCACCTTTCACAATAGCATCAGGTTCGTCTCGTACCCTTCCATGCTTCTTCTCTGTGATAAGACTGTGCATTTCATCAGACACTGGCAAAGACCTGAGGGTAACAAACTGGTAAGGTGATGGAGGCATCAACCTGGACTGGGGAATAGAACACAGGTGGGGAGGATGCTGAACTTTTTCCCACAACCCAAGATTATAGATTAGCCTTCTCTAATTTGGGTGTCTCCTTCCTGCGTTGGACTATAATGCACACCACTCCACTTTCTCCTTCAACACGTTCCTTTGGCATTAAAAAGAAAGTGGTAGTCCAGCTTCTGTTGTGATCTACTTCAGAGCTGCAATAGGTAGCTTGGGACCAAAGCTTAGGGCAAGTTACTTTTATAGGTTACAACTCACAGAAGTCCCGAAGCCTGCATACCTAAAAAGTAACTTCTTCACATCCTGGTTGGGATTCAGTGCCGTTTGGCCTCATGACCTAAAGTGCATCACCACAGTAGCAATCCTGACATATAAATATTTGGTACAGAACACAGGAATGAATAGACCTTTACCAATCTTGGCCCAGTTGGTAAAGAATGAAAACTGCTGCTCTCATTTTCATGTTGTCCCCTCAGAGAACCTTTGCTGCCACACCCACCTCCATCCTCTGCACTTTATTTTTTGAAGGAAAGAGATGGGGAGACAACCTCCTACACCCCTTCTTTCCATGTTTGTGGGAAAGTGGGCTGAGGGAACTTGCACTGTTAACCTCAGACTAAAAATAAGCTGTTTATACAGAAGGGTTGCCAAGAATTTGGGAAATGAAGGAGTCCAGAAGAGGAGAGAATGCTGGCCAAACTGCCTAACAGAAAAGTGTGTGAGTGTTGTCTTTGTGTATGGGACAAAGGGAGAAGGGAGAGAGAAAGAGAAAAGGGAAGAAAAAGGAACAGGAAAGGCAGAGATACACTCCCCCATGAGAGCACACCTCTGGGACACAAGCCCCACAGATTCCTGCTTTCTAAAGAAAATGGAAGATATGCAACCCCCAGCAAAATGAGACTTGCAGCCACTCTAGGATGAGAGTTGCTGGAAAATGAGCCTGCCTAAAGCTACACCTGTTGACCTGGAAGTTTCTCAGAGGATCACGGAGACAGGGTACAAAATTAGGAGAAATCATGGCTGCAGATGCACAGAGGCACTTTTTCCTTGATTCTAGCTGCATTTGGTCTAGTATTAAAAATAGGCTCTGGGGATCAAATACAAATTAAGTGGCACTCGTGGGCTTTCCTCACATTCTCTGCTCTAAGCTTTGGCTGTTCCCAGCTAGGCTGCCCTGCAAGGATTCCTCAGCCTCCCTCCCCCAGGAGCTGACCATAGCTATGGCCAAGAACACCCAATCCCTAGAAAAAGAATCACAAGGTCCTCGGCCTCAAAAGAAACATGTCTTTTCCCAGGCCCCATCTGGCAAGAGATGAGCCACAGCAGTCACTTCCTCTCTAGCTAGGCCTGGGCCCAGCTGGGAACCATTAGCTGGAAGCAGGGCAGGAGGTGTGTGGGTCACCAGACAGAATTCTTCCCATGAATTCTCTTCTCCCTCAGCAGCTTTCTGGCCAAGAAAGAATTGAAATCTTAAGGAACGAAGAGAAGAGATGTTCTTAGAGACACAGAGTGGGAGCAGGGCAGAGCCTCAGAAATTCTGTTCAATGGCAGGGCTTAATCCTAGCCCAGAACATGAAATAATCATGACAAGCAGACTACTTCTAAACATGCAAAGAGTGTCTGTCTCACAAAATCATCCCTGGATGTATGGGATTAGGGGACAACACTTTCAGATTAAAAAATGTGTTTTTCCTGTAGCAACTGCTGCCAATTCATACAAATCTAGAACTAGAAGGAACAATGACATGGCATGAAACTGAGGGTAGCCACACTCATACCGTGCTTAAAATGTAGTGACTACATTTACCTCATCAGTCTTTTGCTTCCAGATTTATCAAACAACCAGCATGGGACCTGAAGATAGAGACCCAAGCAGGCATCAAAGACGACAACAATCAAGCAAGGCAGCCGATTTGTGGGGCTCTGGGAAGCTACAGTTGGAAAGGGTGAAAGCTAGGGCAAATAATCAAATCTTTCTATAGTGGAGGTGACAGGAGCCAGGACTATGACAGTATATGGCGGGCAGCTCCCTCCCCACCACCAAGCACATGCACACATCCTCCCTGGAAAGCTGTTCTTTTCTGCTCAAAACCCACCCACCCATACATCGCAACCCATCACTGCTCACCTTTCAGAACCACTGCTAGCACGACTGGGCTGAGTGAGGGTCACTTGCAATGTAGGTCCCTGGAAAGCGATGGGGAGGGGGAGAGAAAGGGGAACACCATCAGCACTCAAAAGCAACGTTACATACAGCTGTTGTGAGAAAGCCTAATATACAGGCAACTGAGGCATGAAGGGTTTACAGACACCGGGTATCAAAACATGCAACAATACCCTCTCCTTGCAGTATTGCTGTTTATCTACTCTAAAACAGGAGGCTGGCTGGAAGAAAGAATGGGAATGCATAATAATAACACTGGGACACACAGCCGCCTACCCATTCCCATTTCCCAACCACACAAGGAAATGAATTATTAATCTGCAACTTTCCCAGGCTGCTTCGTCGGCTCTACTGCCCCTCCCAGGCCACAGTCTGGCTAGCCATTCCCCCTTCCCCCCTTACACACAAACACACACACACAGACACACACACATCCCGCAAGCTCCAGCAACTGAACGGGTTCCTGTATCCTCAACTGACCTTGGCGTTGGGCTCCAGACTGTGCAGAATTGCACAAGCACATTGCTGAGTAAGATACAGGCAAACAAAGTCCTATTGTAGCCAAGGCTTCCTTCCTCTGTGAGTGGGGGTGGCACAACACGAGGGCAAAACAGGTTCTGGGTGAAGGAACGGGAAACCTGACCTCATGTAAGGGAACCCCTCAACCCGACCAAAACTGGCAAGTTTTATTCTATGCCTGGATGTTTTAGCGCTATTAGTTATCCACCCTGTTCTTGTTTCTTGTCTTTGAGGGAAGGCAAGATATAAATAGAAATAATAAATACAGTAAGTCATTTCTGAAAAGAAGTCCGGGATGGAATTTATGAGAACTGGTAAAAAGTGCAGGACACAACATGCAGTTTAGACATAAGCTCTGCACCGTTCAACTAAAGCAAAGAACACATTGAGTGTGTTCCTGGGGAGGGTTGGGGGGGGGGACAGGAGGAGAAACTAAATATAAAGCCAGTCTGAGTGAGGGGAAACAGAGAGCGGCTGCAACAGGTACTGAGTAATGGACAGGGCACCAACTGTCCTCTGGCATTAGAACACCTGTTAGAACACAGCTCAAGTTGGCATAAACTGTCAGAGTCCTGCAGGGGCAGAGAGACGGGGCAACGGCCATCAAGCACAGTATGGAATGCTCGTTCCAGCAATGAAGCCAAGCTGGCAGCTGGGCCAAGGTGAGGAATTAAAAATTTCAAACAGGATTTCTTACCTTCTGACGCTTGCCAAGAAAGAAAGAAAGAAAGAAAGAAAGAAAGAAAGAAAGAAAGAAAGAAAGAAAGAAAGAAAGAAAGAAAGAAAGAAAGAAAGAGTGGAACCCCCTTCCTAACATCCAATTATTTACTTAGAGTTTGCAAAAGTTACTTGTGCTGACTACAGATTCCAAAACAGAGGCTCTAGAAATTATTGTCCTCCCCAAGCTTGGTATTTATCACAGTCGGAATTACATCAGCTGCCATTGGCTTATAAACCAATTGGTCTATAAACAATTGGTTTATAGAGAAGAAATGAAAGACTTAACAAACTCATTCTGATGCACAAAGTACTGGCACTAAAATCTGAAATGCTGCTGTTTTACCTCTACGCTATCTCAACACATCCCACAGTTTTACTTATTATCCTCACTTACGGAGGAATCAGTCCTCAACTCTCATCTTCTGCAACTGATGAGAACACTGAACAGAATGGAGGCAGGAAATATGCCATTTCAATAAAAGAGAATACAATTTATTTATTTATTAAAAATTTTTTTACCCTGTCTTTTCTCCTTAAAAGTCCCCCAGGGCGGCAACAGAAGTGGGCTGTACTGAAGGAGATGGATAAAAAAGGTGAATAGGTGGAGGATGCATAGGAGAACATAGAAGTGGAGACAGTCAGCCGTTGGGGCAAATGCCTGGATCATTACGAGGCAAAAGGCAAAGAAGAAAAAGGAGAGGCAAATCCTGCTTAACTACTAAATGACTGAACTTTGCACCACCCCGGTTTGGTTTAAAATGAGCTCATTGATGAGAATTTATAAGCAGAGTAAAGCAAAGATTCAAAAGGTTAAAGAAAAAAGTTGGCCTTACTACTGCTTAAACACATACAGTTTAACAGTTTAAGACTTACTTTGCAATATAATCTCTCAAAATCAAGACTTTTATTATTTATTTATTTAAAACATTTCTATGCCACCCTTCTCCCCAAAAGGACCCAAGAGTTCTGAATTTACAAACACAGCTTATTATTTACAAACTTATTGAAAAAGCACTGTGCCAGGATTGCTCCAGTGTGTGGTGGAAGAGACCTGAGATTGAAAGATCATGGAAGAGCCAAAATCAGTATTCCTTAATCTGGTTCCTTCCCGGCATTCTGGACTAAATCGCCCAGGATTGGAAAAAAAAAGTGACAACTCAATCATCCGAAGGTTACTATATTGTGGGAAGCTAGTTTAATTTCACGGAAACAGTAATCCAGAACATTATGCAGACTTGTTAAATGTGTTCAAACTAAATTTTGAATTTCCATGTTTCTGAGTACATAAGCAAGACTGATTTAAACTAATAATTCTTTTTTCTTAAGAATTCATTGATTGAAATAAGCAATAAAAGAGCATTTAACGTATACTGAAGCTACAGGATTTGTAGTACTGATACATATTGTGCACTGAGGTACTGAAAACCCGTCTTCTCACACAGTAGCAGCACTGCTTCACTTATAAGGTTCACACTCACAAAATAGCATGTAAAGTGGCACATGGCTACTTCACATGTCCTCAAACTGCTTCACTATGCTCTCTGCTCCAGCCTGCTCAGCTTTCCCACACGCATTTTGGGAAATTGACTCCACTAAAAGTTTCAGCCAGACCTGAAATGTCTAACGAGTTCCCTTTACGCTATTTAAATTAGAACTTTCGTATCTTTTCAACTATTCCCAGTGGCTTTCCACAAAACCGATAAATAAAAGAACCATGAAACAAACATAATTTTTTATATATACTGTACAGTATACTCAAAACCATGAAAAGTAGAAAATGGAAATAAGGGAGCAAGAGACCTTGGTGGCAAATGTGACCTCTACATCACCATGGAAACTTTTAAAACTGTTTAATTCTACCATTTTATTACTTTTTTAACTTACCATTTAGTCAGACATTATTTCTCATCCAGGGAATTCTCCATGCCAAATTATATACTATTTGGATAAATAGTCTTGATTTTATGAATGCAATTATAATATGGGATGTTTTTATCAGTGCTTCAAAAAGTCTCTTTTTTCACCTACAACTCTCCGATTCTCCTGGCAAATATGGCCACTGGACTTGAGATCTTTTAAAAAATTCCCCCAAAATCTGCAGGATAAATGCACCCAGGCACTTTCTTTCAGTACATATTTATCAGTACTATATTTTCCTGGTAAAGCATAATTTCTGAGCACATTTAGAGTGGTGGGGGACTATGCAAATGTCTGGGTACACTGACAGCCAGAAACACACATTCTGCATAGCAGCCACCCTGCTCAACACCAAAGTTAGGAAGATCTATAAAGCTTGTTTGTCTTTTCTCTCTCCACTCCCTGGAGTACCTTCATGGCATCTCTTTGGATCAGGTTACCCAAGAGTCGGCTTTCTCCCCCATATATCTCTTTGGTTCTTGAAGTCAACTGGAGTGGCCTTCCTGGTTCCTGAAGTCCACTCTGTGGTTGAGCAGGTTATTCAAGAGGGTGGCACGCCATTCCCTCAAAACCCTGGCATGCTACAACAGTGTTCAGATTGACATGCAAACTGAAAAGACAGCAAGTTTCTCCTTTTACCATCTATTTCACAGATGATACAAATCTTGTATGTATTGTTTGTGCAGTTAGGCCCTGTGTATATCACCGCTGTGCACTGCTTTGACATTTCCACATATGAATAGTTTATAAATATTAAATAGAGATGGGCACGAATAAAAAAAATGGTAATTCATTTTGATTCATGATTTATCAAGGTTGACAAATCATGAATTTATTTATTTTTCTAATGAATTTTTTTTTTACTTTAAAAGCCTATAAAATGCCCCCCAAGCACCTAGAGACACCAAATTTACGGGGAATCTTCCCCTGACTCTTCTCTACAAGCCCTGTAAGTTCAGTGATGTTTGGGTTTCGGATGTCCAAATTATTCACCCACAAGGAGGAACCTCCAGGAAAGTCGCCCCCCCAGGCACCTAGTAACACCAAAATCACAGAGAAACTTCTACTGACTCTCTTCTACAATTCCTCCAAGTCTGGTGAAGTCTGGGTTTCAGACATCCAAGTTAAAAACCAATAAAGTGGGTCCCCCGAGGAAAGTGTCGTTTAGCAGCTGGCTTGGGGAAAGGTCAACCTTCACCAGACTTGGAGGGATTATAGAAGAGTCTCAGGGGAAGCTTCTTTGCAATTCTGGTCCCTCTAGGTGCCCTGGGGGGTGTTTTATAGCCAAATGAATAAAAAAAAATCAAAAATTACTAAAAATTCATTGATTAATGGTTAGGGGCATGGATTCATACGAATACGAATCAACAAATTAGGGATTTCTGAACAAATCTGATTATTCATTTTTTTAAAAATTTGTGCCAATCTCTAATATTAAATAAATATCTCTATTTCCAGTACTGGGCATCAGCTCTGTGGCTGTCAAGGAAAGGGAAACCCACAGCTGGACCTCACAGCTGCCAAAAAGCCAAGATCTCCTTGTTATCAAGTATCTTCATGTGACAGAAGGCCTAGTCTGGCCTGCTCTGCTTCACTGAGAGCCAGAATATGCCACAGGCAGGAGCTTCACAGCCTGCAATACTGACAGCAGCCTCTGCTTGTGCTTACTCTGCATTGTTGGCAGTAAGTATGTGTGTATATAGGGTTAATGAACCGGCCTTACAGCCCTGTTCAAACAGGCAGGAGACTTTGTGACCTATGACTAGTTCAGGCACCATGCTTCCAAGAGACTTTGTTTGCTCCTCAACAGCAATGTGAACCCACCAGAATTTGAGACTCCTCTAATCATATAATGGTTCTTGTTCTA